CTATCTTAAAACAATCACCCCTGTATATGTATTTCTGGAGTACCCACCATGTGCCAGGCACAGTGCTGGGCCACGGGGATACCGCAAGCAAGGAGACAGACCCAGCTCTGCTCCCTGGGGAGCTCATAGTCTTACAAGGAAGAGTAATATTAAACGAAGATCTACACAAATAAATTAATCACCATCGAGAGACACACCAAGCCAGAAAAATACAGGGGAGCTAGGAGGAGATAAAAGAGGGGGAATAATCCGTCTTGGGGTGGCATGGAAGCCTTCCTGGAAAAAGAGACCTGAGGGGTAAGAGTCAGTGGGAGTCATGTAAGGGCATCCTAGGCAGAGGCAAAAACAGGGACAGACGTTCTGAGGTGGGAAGGAGCATGTGCTGGGGTGGCTAGGGTGTCGTGAGATGGGGTGCTGAGGCAGGCAGGGGTCAGTGGGCTCTACGGATGTTGAACTTTCTTCTCAAGAGGGATGGAGTAAGCAGAGGAGTGACCAAACTGACTGATTTGCACTGTAGAAGGATCCAGCAGTGCCGGAAAACAGAGGGAGCCCAGTAGCCAGAGTGCAGGGAAGAAATACCCAGACCTCTCCCTCCTCCCGTCCTCTGACTGCCGCCCTGCCTCCCATTGGCTGATCCTGACTGGAAGTCATTGGGCAAAGGAGCTTCGGTAATGCAGTGCACGGACGTGGCCTCCTGGGGTGTGGAGCAGGGTGGAGAAGCACAGAGAGGCAATCTGGGGAACCCATGGAGAATCACCAGCGCCAGCCCCATGGGAATCACATAGAGGTTGGCCTCTCAGAGGTTCAGAGCCCTCCTTCAGAATCCCTGGCCCTTGGCGAGCACTGTTGAAGGAGCGACAGAGAGACCCAGCCCTGTGTGAGGAGCACAGACTGTCCTCAGAAAGACCTGGGCTTCCGTCATTCTTGAGCTTTCCTGTGTGGCTTTAGGCAGGTCACTTAACCTTTCTGAGCTTCCTTTTCCTTATCCAGAGAGTGAGATGAAGATCATAATAGTAGTACATCTCATAATCACTAGTCTCCTTTTTTTGAAATCCAACAAACTCAGAAAGCTTTGCATCACCCCCTCCCTCCAGAAAAGTAAGGGATAAAATTTAGAGGCATGATCTAGACTGACATGAGGCTATTTATAGTCCTAATTTATTTCCCTTCATATCAATATCCTACATTTCCCTACAGAATACTAATGGATGTGATTATGGTAGTTGCTCAAACCTGCGGCCCATGGGGTGAATTACACAGTAATTCAGATATAATCACTGTATCAGTTTTCTGAAATCTCAAACTCTTTGAATTCTTTTTTTTTTTAAGTTTATTTAAGTCATCTCTACACCCCATGTGGGGCTCGAACTCACAACCGTGAGATCAAGAGTCACATGCTCTTCCCACTGAGCCGGCTGGGTGCCCCCCCACACTCTGAATTCTGAAGCGCATCTGACCCGAAGATTTTGGATAAGGGGTTGTGGACCTATAGTGCCAAACCTGGGGCTTGGGAAGATCCAGTGAATTAATGAGTACGAAAGACTGTGCACAGTGCCTAGAACACAGAATTATTATTTTATTCCAGGTAAATCATTTCACTGTTTCCATCAGTCACTGGGAGCCACTGAGATAGAAAAAAGTTGTGTGTTTTGTGTTCTATTGGCCATGAAATCTGATGATATTCCTTTAAAAAAACATAATACAGCCCTGGAAAATTTCAGGCAACCCATGGAAGCGGTTTTCAAAATGTTTTTTTAGCAGCTAGATTATTCCCCCCCCCTTTTTTTTTAAAGACTTCATTTATTTATTTGAGAGAGACACAGTGAGAGAGGGAACACAAGCAGGGGGAGTGGGGGAGGGAGAAGCAGGCTTCCTGCTGAGCAGGGAGCCCGACGCAGGACCCTGGGATCATGACCCGAACTGAAGGCAGACGCCTAACGACTGAGCCACCCAGGCGCCCCTATTTTTCCCTTTTAAAAAAGATTTATTTAGGGGCACCTGGGTGGCTCAGTCGGTTAAGCGTCTGCCTTCGGCTTCAGCTTGGAATCCCCCAACACATCAAAGAGCGTACTGTGATTGCATTCACATACATTTATTTTATAAGTTCATATTTGTACAATAGAGCATCGACCACAAAGAACAGTGAAGAGTTTTAACGGAACCCACTCTTGAAAATGGGGGTTTACCAAGGCCAGCTGCGGGCATCTCTCAGCCAGCACGTCCAATCTATCTGGGAATTTTCTCTTAGGATTTGCTGTGTGCCAGCCAGGTCTTGACTCACACAGATAACCGGCTTCAAATGGCAACCAGTTGACCCAACTGCTTATGTTGCTATGTCAGGAAACTCTTGCAGAAAACCTCGAGAAGGGGTAGGAGACTGGGTTTTAGGGGCAACACTGAACATTGACACACACTCACATTGTGTATCACACATATGGATGTTGTATGGGAAACACCCAAAACCCACAATAAGCACAAATATACAGTCTCGATACTGCAGTAAGATGATAAGGAATGTCACACTGTCCCTTGTTAGTATACAACGACTCTGCCTTGATGGAAGAACAGCATGCAACAAGCTTACGTGCCTGAGGTCTTATTCAAGCTCAGACTCTGAGGAAACAGCAAACACAGTAACACAATACACCGTGAGTGCAGTGAGTGCGGTTGCCCGGGCTGGACACTTACAAGGGAGAAAAAGATCAGTAGAGAGCTACAAACTTCTAGACCTTCTAGATGCACTTGCAAGAAGAGTAAATATATATGTGGGGATGGCAGGAAAAGCTTTATCCTGACCACTGCACAAAAGAAAAGGGTGGTGAGGCTGATGATTCAAAGTCAGCTGTGGGAGTTGACAGAAATCAGAGTCTTCCAGGTTTTTAGGGTGTCAACGTATGTGAACTCTAAAAATTCCTTCTGTCCTGACACTTGCTGGGGATGCAAGGACCTAAGAGGAATTTCTGACTGCCTGAGGGTGGGTCCCTTGCCTGCACCCTGGCTGCCAAGGTGAAGGGGTGGGTAGAGAGAGAATCTCCACCTTTTGGCTCTGCTAGGGGGGCCTCAGGGAGTAGCCTCACAGAAAAAAGAAGAGGGGTTGGATGCTGGAATTCACAGATGTGACTGATGCCCACCACAGTAATACGTTGGGGGTCTCCACTATCACGATTTGGTAGGCGAGAATCTGAGCTTCTGAGTGTGTATGTAAATTGCATTTTTTAAAAACCAAAGAAATTCAGCCCAAACCGTTGCAAATCCCTGAACTAATGGAAGTTTGCAAATTCGCAGCCCGGGGGCCCTGAATAAGAGCTCTGTCTACCCATGGACATTTGGATTTTACCTGATTCATTTCTTTGTTTTTGTTGTTCTTCACCATCACGGGGGACTCAAAGTTAATGCCGTTAATGGGTAACTCTTGAAGGTGACCTCTTAATTATTTACCTACTTTTGGACTATTTCCTGAAAATCTTGCCTTTTGTTCTTTAGGGTGGGGTGCCCCCTCTGCCCAAGTCAGAGCTTCTGGAATTGAATTTGGGGAGACCCATATCCTAACCCCAGGGGCCAATCGGAGCAGAAGAGTCCCATGTCTGACCATCCCTTGTAAAGGAGACTGAGTGTGTACAGGACAGCGACAGTTTTGACAGAGTCAAACACAGAGCCCTGAGCTCCTCAGGTGTGGCAAGCAGGCAACTCACTTCGTCAGGCATGGTTTCTGCAAATCAGGGACTCGGGACGAGTTTGTGCCAGAAGTACCTTCAAGGTCCATCCTTTTAAAAGACCAAAAAAACAGGTCTAGACTTTGCAATGGCAGGATCTCCAGCAGGGCCCATATCTAGAAGGGTCTGTGTCTCTTCCTGGCAACACATACTCAGCAAGAGGGGCTGTCCCCGACATCAGGACTCAGAGGGTGCTGAGGGGGGGATAGCAGCTTTTCTCCAGAGCAGGGATCTCCCCGACATGGTCCTCCTGCTTGGCTTTTCCTCAACTCTGGCAAGAGACCTTCTGCAAACCCTTGGAGTCCCCGACCCTTTTCTTCCTCTTCCGTTTCCTTCAAACACCTGCTCACGCAGGGCGGGGAGGGGGAGACAGCCCAAGGTCTCCACGGCAACAGTGGGGATGATGTGCTTCTCTGCCAGGACTGTGACCTCCCAGCTGGTCCCTTGGGGTCTCCAGGTTGTTAGACGTTGTTTGTGGGTTCTTCACTCAAAAGTTACCCTCACCCACTCAAATAATACTCACACACGCTCAGGTGTTGCTCCCACAGTTACATGTTGCCCACAACTACTCAGATATTACCCGCTCTAACTCATATGTTACATTCAGACTCAGATGCTACCCACACACACAAATGGTACCACGCTCACTCATGTATTCAAGTAACTCAGATGTTCCCCTCACCTACTCAGATATTAATATGAGTGCCACGAGGGCAAGATTTGGGTCTATTTGTTCCCTACTGTATGCCCAGTGCCTGAAACAGCATCTGGTACACTGTGGGCATTCAGAAAACATTTGTTGAGTGACTGAGTGATCCATACTCAACCTACAGATACTACCTACACCTACTCAAATGGTACCCATGTCCACTCAGATGTACCCCAGTAACTCACATGTCCCCCAGTCTCTATGAGTGCCATGCAGGCAGGGATCTGTGTTGGATTTGCGTGCAATAGATATCTGCAGAATGAATGAATGAATGAATGGCCCACGCTCAACCAGACGTTACCCCCATCACTCAGATGTAACCCACAAGTTAACGCAGATCAAAATGCCCTCCCCTCACTCACACTTGTCAAATGTTCCCCATCACTCAAATGACACCCATTCTCATTCAAAGTGACCCACATATCTGAGTCATACTCCCCCCCCCCCATACTCTCCACACTCACTCAAATTCCCCAAACTAATTCAAAGGCTACCTCCCCTTTCGGTCATTTCTCCCGCCCCCACTCAGATGACACCTCCCCTCACCCTGCCGCCCCTTGCGCCCTCCCCACCTCACCTCACAGCTTCTTGTCAGATGCATGGTGCCGTCGACGGCTTTTCTTGTGCTTTCGCTTGCCTCTCTTGTCATCTCCAGCCTTGCTCTGCTTCTCCACCGAGGCCAGAGGAGGCGCCCCGTCGGCGCCCACGGGGGCCTCGGCCCCCGCCTTCTCCCCTGGCCCAGGCGCCGGGCACTTTCTGGCAGGCAGCTCTCTGGGGCCCGTCACTGTTGGGCACAGTTCCTGCCTCAGGACCCGGGCCACATCCTCCACCGTCCTGCCCTCGCTCTGCAGGAAGAGGTTCAGCTTGGTCAGGAATTCTATGTCCTGCTTCCGGGGCATGTAGACCACTCTCCACATGCCGCCCTTGCCCTTGATCTCCCTGGGGATCACGGCATAATTGATGTCCTCCTCCAGCCTAATGATGGCTGCCTTGGATCTCTCTTCCTCCAGAAACGCCTTCCCGGCCACTTCGAACTTGCCCAGGGGCTTCAGGGGGACCCGTATGATCTCTTCGAACTCCTCATGGTTGCAGTCTTCCGGTATACCCAGAATCATCAGGGACTTGTAACTGTCCACCTCGAGCGCCTTGCACCCGTGCTCCAACAGAGCAATGTCCTTGACCCCGAAGAGCATCTTGCCCAGCTCTCGGAGGCAGGAGTATGCTCGCTGGTGCACACCTGAGCTGCCTCGAGAATCCACAAAATTATCCAGGATGCCACGATCCCTTCCCAAAGCCTAAGTAGGAGAGAGGCCTCACGGGCCCGATTTCTCTTTCTAGTGGAGGATGTCACTGGCCCTGCCCGCAGGGCTGCAGTGTCCAGCCCTCTGTAACCTTCCCCCGAGAGGGCTCTTGGGAATGCCCAGGGACTTACGCACAGTGAAACAGAGGCGGCGTCTGCCAGCTGGCTCGTGGGTCCCGAGTCTGGGCAAGGCCACACCGAGGAGGGTCTGAGGACGCACCTCTCCTTTCCTGGCGATGTTCTCCAAAGGTCTCACCCGTCGCAGCAGTCTCAGCAGATCTGGGACAGCGGGTCTCCCTGGGCTGCGGCCACCGGGGTGTCGTGGATGGGGGCCCAGAAAGCAGGGTGGCTGGTCTCCCGCGGCTGGCCCAGAGGCTGCCCTCAGTGCCCTGTGGCCCCGGCGAAGACAAGGATGTGGTCTCTGCACTTGCTCCCGCAGTGACGTCACTGCCTCCTTCCGCGGCTCTGCGGCCCAGAAGTCTCCATGGCAACCGCTGGAGCATCGCCTCTGCCATTGGCCGGGGCCAGCCGCATTGAAATCAGAGTCCAAGGGGGTCACTCAGGGGTGAGGGGTCAGCCACCTTGCCTTCAAAAGCACCCTCCCTTCTCCTTAGAGAAAATGGCTGATTCCAGGGGAGAGGGGACAGAGAAGATACAAGAGGAGCCTGGAACATCCTTTTTTTTGGCGCGGGGGGGGGGGGGGGGGGGGGGGGGGGGGGCCGTCAGAAAGTAAGGAAATGTTCAAAGAATGATGAGAACAGGTGGAAGGACAGAGAGCCAGCTTGAAGGGCTCCCGCTGGCCAAATCTGGGACAATTTGAGCATCAATGTTAAAAAATGAGATCATAAACCCCTTGATAAAATAAAAATCCACGAGTCTGTGGAGATATTAATAAATGCATAAATGGAAAGTTTGGGTGGAAGAATGTGGGCTGTACGTTGTCTCACATAAAACGAATCAAAGGGAACAAGAGTCTTTACCTTGGAATATTCTTGTTTGTAGGACACACGCAACAACATTCAGGGCACCACACTGGCAATTTTCTCACAAAATGGTTCAGGAAGGAAAAGAGTTCTTTGTACTGTACTTGCAACTTTCCTATAACTTTGTGATTGCTTCAAATATATTTTTAGAAAAAAAGAAACGCCCTGTACATGTGATCACCTTCACGATGTCCATTTCTCCCCTTCCTATGCCGGTAATTAAAAGCCATCAGGTTTGAGTTGGATCAATATCCTCCAAACTCCCAGCTTCAGACTGGGTCTATGAATGGCTGGAACTAATCAGCATAATCCCACCCCCCCGCCACAGTGATTGGTTCAGAAATGGTCACCTAGGTAACCCAGGCCTAAGCCAATCAGTGTGTTTTATCTCCCTACTCACAGAGATTGGTGAAGGGCTGGATACCTGAACTCAGTCCAATTAGAATGAAGCTTCAGATATTTGAGACTAGTTGATGAGGAGAAATATACTCTTTCCTCCTAGATGTGAAATAATAAATATGGGAGCTGCAAGAGGTCATCTTGAAACCATGAAAGAAGCCATTCTGAGGATGAATTCCACATCCAGAGGAAAGCAGAGCTGAATCACAGAGAAACCAAGCCATTGTCCTGACGTCATCACATACTTCTGGATCAAACCATGCCTGAAACCTAACCCTCTGAAACTTTTTTTTTAACTTTTTAAGTGAAATACAACATTTATAATGAGAAGTGCACAAGTTATAAAGGAAAATCTATAAACTGAACACATTATGTAACCAGTACCCAAATCCAATAATGAACATCATCAGCATCCCCAGAAGGGTGTCCTCTGCTTTCTCCAAGTCACTATATCCTGTCAAGGGTAGCCACATTCCTGACTTTCAATGGCATAGATCCTTTTTTTCTGGTTTTTTTAATTTTACATAAATGGAATCACATATTATGTACTCCACGTTTCTTGGTGACCATATACATCCGGATCTGTCGGTTATACGCCTAGGCAGATGCTAAGCTGTAGTAGATACTCCGAATTTCCCAAAGTAATTGTATCATTTTATACTCCCCTAGTAGTGCTTGAGAGTTCCAGTTCCTTCGTATCCTCACTGACACTAGCTGTTGCCAGAATTTTCCACTTTGGCAACTCAGGTGTGTATCTCCTTGTGATGTCTCCGGAGTGGAATCTCGTTGTGTTTTTAATTTGAATGTTCCTGATGGCCAGTGACATTAAGGATACTTTTTCAGAGGCATGTTGGCCATTTGGATATTTTGTGAAGTCTGTTAAAGTCTTTCACTTAAAAAAAAATTAGATTGTCACATTTTCCTTATTGATTTGTAATTAATGTAATCTGCATATTGTCTTGATTGTTTTAAGCTTAAAACAATTTTCTGTAACTTGTATCCAAAATGCAGCTTCATTAACAAGGAAAGATTCCCAAGTGTTTACTCCATTCAACATTTTGCTTTGTCTTTTTCACACCTTATAATTATCGTGACCATGATTATATTATATTACGTAGGCACAATATTGGGCTAGCATTTATTATGAAATTTCTCTTCTCTCTCTCTCTTTCTCTCTCCTAAATTTCAAAAACACCTCTCCAACTCTCAAAGTATTTCCTCCTCTGGGTCATCCTGGGAGCTGACGGGACAAGTACAATGTGTGAACTTGAGGGCAGAACTGACAGGGACTTGGGGGTGACCCAGGATGCAAAAAGCCCTTTAACTGGAAGTCAACCTGAACTACACATTTGGCCTCTCCAGGAGACCCTACACCTAGCACCTCACGATGCCCCCCCCACCCATCTGTGAGTGCCCGTACTGAATGATTGGTGTGTAACCTCAGTGAGAATGCCAGGCATAGATAGAGTGACCTTGGACAGCGTCTTGGGGATGGTCCATTGTTAGCTGGAGGGAATTGTTTGGGTCAGAGGCCACCAACTGCAAGCCTACAGAAGAAAATACAGATTTCTGACTTCCCTTAAAAATGAAAGAATCTGTCAAAATAGACTCTCATTCTCATCCTATTAAAATCTGTTGAGGCCGAGAAGCTTCTGCCTCTCTTTAATGGAGTGCCTGCTCTCTAGTTTTTCACAGATCTATCAGCCCCAATTGCACCCCACCCTGCTCCACGTATGCATCTACATTACCTACCTTGTCTCTGTAGGTGCTAGAATTTGAGATGCCTAATTTTCCGTTACACCATTAACTTTTTTTTTTAAGATTTTATCTATTTATCTGACAGAGAGAGAGACAGTGAGAGAGGGAACACAAGCAGGGGGAGTGGGAGAGGGAGAAGCAGGCTTCCCCCCCGAGCAGGGGAGTCCGCTGCAGGGCTCAATCCCAGGACCCTGGGATCATGCCCTGAGCCGAAGGCAGACGCTTAACGACTGAGCCACCCAGGCACCCCACCATTAACTGTTTTAAAAAATATTAATTCACCCTTCAACATCTTTGAATTATTCTCCACAGAAGGATTTTTTTTTAATTTAATTTTTTTTTCCACAGAAGGATTTAAACACTGACTAATGCTGGAGATCCCAGGTCATCCTGAGCACAGAAACCTTCACTTCTGTGTTGAACTCCCCCACAGTAGGAGTTGGGGGGGAGCGCAATCTGGCTGGGAGGGGGCACCCAGGCTGTGCCCCCCCTCACAGAGTCTCCAGCCCCCTCCCAGCCAGGCTGCGCCCCCCTCTCCCCACCGTGTGTGTGAATGAATGGATAAAGAAAATGTGGTATATATACATGAATTCATATATACATAAGTATTACTCAGCCATTAAAAATTGGGGCGCCTGGGTGGCTCAGTCAGTTAAGCATCTGCCTTTGACTCAGGTCATGATCCTAGGGTGTTGGGATGGAGTCCCGCATTGCACTGGGCTTCCTGCTCAGTGGGGAGTCTGCCTCTCCCTCTGCCCCTCCCCCTGCTCATGCTCTCTCTCTCAAATAAATAAATAAATAAAATCTTTAAAAAAAAGAAGGAAATTATGCCATTTGAAACAACATGGATGGATCTTGAAAGCATTATGTTAAGTGAAATACGACAGAGAAAGACGAATACCTTATGATCTCACTTATATGTGGAATCTTAAAACAAAAAACCCCAAAACAACCCAAAATGAACTCCTAGATACAGAAAGTATTTTAGTGGTTGCCAGAGCTGGGGGATAAGTTAAAGTAGTCAAAAGGTATACACTTCCTGTTACAGGATAAATAAATCCTGGGGATGTAAGGTACAGTATGGTAACTATGGTTAGTACTACCGTATTGTGTATTTGAAAGTTGCTAAGAGAGTAGATCTTAAAAATTTGCATCATAAGGAAAAAAAATTTTATAACTATGTGTAGTGACGGATGTTAAAAAAAAGTATGTCATAGATTAATGAATCCTTGGGGCTCCGTTGCATTTCCCTGGGATTATGCACGTTCCAAGTTGAGAAGCAGGAGACAGAATGGTTCATTTATTCGATCCCCCAATATTGACTGAGAAGTTTCCTTGTTCCAGGCTCTGGGCAACGTGCTGGGCATACTTGAGTGAGTGAGACAAGCTCTGCTTTTAGGAGCTCGGTCTGGTGGTTAGGACAGACGAGGTCAGCCTGTTTATGGTCAGATGGAGAAGCCCTGTAATTATCATGAAGATGTGTTCTGATCGCCAGCGTATGAATGAAGTACTGACCCCACTACAAGATGGATGAAACTTGAAGACATCATGCTAAGTCAAAGAGGCCAGACATGAAAGACCACATGTTGTATGATTCCACTTGGATTAGATATCCAACATAGGTATGCCTTCGACTCAGGTCCTGATCCTGGGGTCTTGGGATCGAGCCCCAAGTTGGGCTCCCAGCTCAGCGGGGAGCCGGCTTCTCCCTCTCCCTCTGCCCCTCCCCCCACTTGTGTGAGTTCACATGCTTTCTCTCTCTCACACATAAATAAAATTTTTAAAAATCTTTAAAAAGATATCCAACATAGGTAAATCCGGAGGTAGAAAGTGGATTAGTGGTTGCCAGGACTGAGCAGGGGAGAATGGACAGGATTTCCTTTGGGGGTGATGACAATTCTTGGAATTAGAGATGCTGGTTGCACAAGATGGTGAATGTACTAAATGCTGCTTAGGCACACTTTAAAATGGTTCATTTTCAAAAAAAAAAAAAAGGTTCAGTTTTAGTATGTGAACTGCACCTCAATTAAAAAAGAAATTTGGGGGGCCCCTGGGTGGCTCAGTCGTTAAGCATCTGCCTTCGGCTCAGGTCATGGTCCCAGGGTCCTGGGATCAAGCCCCGCATCGGGCTCCCTGCTCCGCGGGAAGCCTGCTTCTCCCTCTCCCACTCCCCCTGCTTGTGTTCCCTCTCTCGCTGTGTCTCTCTCTGTCAAATAAATAAAATAAAATTTTAAAAGAGTAAATAAATTTAAAAAAATTTTTTTAATGACTCCATTTTTGGCTTGAATGATGGTGAGTCCATTCACCGTGATGGGGAAGCTTTAGGGAGAAATGAGCTGGGAGATCAGGAATCCCATTTTTAGAGGTCTTGAATT